ACGTTGATGACGGCGGCTGAGTGTCAGCTGCCCCCGCCAGTGAATGACAGTTTAGCGAAATACGGCCCGCCCTCTTTTCTCTTTAACATTGACATGCTGCATGTAAATTATACATGTTAGGTTGTAAAATCCAAAATAAAATTAGAGGTGCCTCTCGAACATCTCCATTGGTATATACAGAAATTTGATCTTTGATCTTGGGGAAGATAAAAAAAAAATGTAGCCTATAATTTAATTAGGTCAATTCTTTTTATAATTTGAAAAACAATTACACTATTATTAAAACTAATTAAATATATCCTCCTGAGATTTTTTTATTTTATTTTTTTTATGTCATTGCATTGGTTGGAGCATAAGAAAGAAATGGAGAAAAAACATAAAAAAAAAAAAAATTCTTTATATTTTATTCTATGTCCTTTGTAGAGGACGCCAGGATTTCCCAAAAAAAATAGATAGACATGAAAAGGCATGTATAGGCAAAAACAATGTTTTATTTTTTCATTCACCAATAAGTTTTTATGTTTCCGATTATTTTTTAGCCAAATTTCTTTCCCTATTGACTTGTGTTTCCCCAAAATGCCTGATTAACATAATGTTTTTCCTGGTGTCCAAAAGTCTATGCCTGGGTCCCAGGAGGAATTTTTTTTTCTTTTCTTTTTTTCTAAATTGCATGTGTAGCCTATAAAAGTAGCTTAAATTTACTACACAACTGAAAATACTTACTGAGTGAAACCAGGCAGTACATTGACAGTATTAAGAGACTCACTGATTAAAAAATAAAACACTTATTTTATTAGGCTATTTAAATTGTTTATACACTTTATTCAGAATTTTGTCTACATGTGTACTTGTGTATTTACTCTTGGGTTTTTTTCTTTTTCTGTTAGTTGTTAGTCATAGTGTTATATAATGTTGTTCACTGAATAATTAAAATTATGTTGTAAAACTTAAAAATGCAGATGGCATACAAAGGCAGTAGTGTGAAATAAATTCTGGTAAATAATGGTACTTTTTCTAGTGTCATTCAGTGTAAATAAGAGTAAAATATCAATCCAGTAAATAAAACACTAGACTGAACAAACTGAACAATTAAACTGAACAAAATGGCATTTGTTAAAGATTTTTTTTAAAGATTATTTTTCGGCTATTTGTTTAATTGTCCAGTAGAGGGAGGCATAGTGCATCTGATACAGTAATAACTGCACTGTTTCACTTGTGTTTGCTCACAGCCACATGGCATTTATTCTGTCACAGTGGTAATTAAAATATTGCAAGTGTGATAATAAGACATTAATGAGAACAATACAAACAAAAATGTTGCTTTACAAGCTACAATGTCTTAAAATACACTAACTATATTTATATGGCTATTTGATTAACTGAGGCAAACAATTTGTCATTATGCACACAAGCTTAGAAGGAAAAAAAAATCAATTTCTGAGTCTAGGAAGACTGATAGCTGATACAAAATGCGTTTTCAATTGCATCCATTTTTTGACTGAACAGTTAAATTAATTAAACAGCATGCCTTTTGACTTTATTTCTTGAGAATATTAAATTAATTCTTTATAATTGGGTCATTGATCATGGCCAGAGATAAGCTACTTAAGAACTACTTTATTTAATAACTGGTTTACTTTACAGAAGTCCACCACTGTGTACTCAAATCCATTTTAAAGAGCAGGATGAGAGGAAACATCTTTAAAATCTTTAAAACAAATAGAAAAGATCACTGCCACATGCCCTGATGTGCACATATGGAAGAACATTTTATTAGGAGACAGATTTGAACCCTGCCTAACAAAAGAAGAGCTCTCTTTCACTCTTAATCCTTACATGGTGACAAAGGCCCTATAATGAAGAGGTCACCATCAGAACAAAGACGGAACACAAGCACCACCCCCACAAGTGTTTGCCGTGTCCGTCCTTCCACCAGTGGATGACTGGATTAAGGAAGGGTTCTAAGGTTTATGTTTGCAAAAGAGGAAGGAAGCACTGCACATGGGTGCCCTTTTGAGAGCAAGGACATGAGCTTCCAATCTATGCTTGATTATTTTTTTTTTACTTTAAAGGGGTCATATGATGCTGCTAAAAAGAACATTATTTTGTGTATTTGGTGTAATGAAATGTGTTTATGCGGTTTAACGTTCAAAAAACACATTATTTTCCACATACTGTACATTATTGTTTCTCCTCTATGCCCCGCCTTTCTGAAAC